AGCATTACTCAAGGAACCGCGAGCCATTAGGTATCATTTTATGGGATCAAGAAAAGGCTTTTGACCGAGTCAATCACCGTTAGCTCTTCGAGGTGTTACAGAGGTTTGGATTTGGACAGAAGTTCATTCGTTGGATAAGGCTAATGTACACCGGTGCCACTTTTCGAATCAAAATAAATGATTCGATAACACAACCGATGAAATTCGAGTCTGGAGTGGACCAAGGTTGCTCGGCATATGGTATTATATATGTAGTGTCCCTCGAACCTCTATTGTATAGTATCAGGAATAATCCTAAAATACCAGGTATCATCCCACCAGGTGCACAGTATGAGGTGGTACGAAAGAAGGCTTTCCCCTATGACGGAGTCGATAGCCCCATAAAAACAATAGCATATGCGGACGATATTGATAATATTGTCTCCAGCAGATGTTTGATCTGTACAACAGCGCATCAGGTGGAAAACCGAAGGTTGAGAAGACCGAGGTTTTTCTGGATTAGTGATTAGCTGCCACCACCAGCATCCCAAGGGCAAGTTAAACTTGACTGGTGCAGGTTTTTAGGTGTGCCAATGGACAAACGGAGACATTTTCCATCTTCCGAATTAGTTACGCTCAAAATATCTTTAAAACAAAACTTGGGGATGTGGTCGCAAATTAGCTTCTCTCATTTAGAGAGAAATACAATATTGAAAGTTTTCTCTCTTAGTTGTATCGTCTACCGTTTTTCCCTCATCACAGTCCACTTAACCACTGCAAAATATCGCAAATGCATTCGTATGGCGCGGAAAACACCCCACAATTAGTTTTAAAACTATAATTGGAAAAAAGGTAGATGGAGGATTTATCTTAATGGATATTAAAACAATGGTAGAAGGATTTAGAATTAAATGTGGTCTACGCCTAATGTCTAATACTCCAGCGAAGTGGAAATTTTATGCTCTGCAGTCCATGGCCACCAGAACGGAACCGGAAAAACAATGTGTGTTTTGTGATCAACCTGAATCAAGGTACCATCTATGGGTCGAGTGTACCTTTTTTCAGCCAGTGTATGACCTGCTCAAGAACTCGATTGCCGATGGGACTCATGTGTCTGTTGAGCGTGGAACGAATCAAATCGTTTACATTGAAAAAATCCCCTCATATGATCTCACTGTGGCACAACGTAAAAATATAATTTTCCAAATTGGAAATTTCATTAAAACTATATGGGATTTTCGAAATGCAGTCCTTTTCGAAAAGACATTCAGATAGTGACGAAATTTTTCAACCAAATCACCTCCTCTTTGACAATGGTTAACTAGTATGATGACTTTTAACGTGATCTGTAAACCTTTCGTATCCTCATACCCAGGAAATGATCTTTCGTTTAGTTTGCACTTTTCAAAGTTATTCTTTGTTTTTGTCTATTTGGTCATTTATTCTGTAGTACTTGTTCCCCCCGCTGTGTTTCATAGGTTATTATATTGTTCATTCATTTGGTTTTTTATGTTCAACTATGTGTGTGTCCTGTTTTCTTTTTCTGATATTGTGAAGCAATGTTCATTCATTTTCGTGTATTTTAAACATATATTTAATAAAAACCTCCCCGAGGGAAAAACAAAAAAGAAACGTTAGACTTAGGGACGTAGCCCAGGATAGCGGTACTTAAAATCAGTACCGCGAGTGGTGCAGATCAGCACCACAAGCTATGGAGCCTTAATCAGCAATACAAGATGAATTTCGTTTCATTTAGTTAAAATTAAACGCTGAGTTATTTAAACAGAAGAACGCCATATCACATTTTCTAGTTTCGGCACGTTTAAAAAAAGTCGTTTTGGAACGCGAAATTAAACATGGCGTTTCGTCGCATTTGTGAAAAACTGAGTTTCTTTTAAAACTGCGTTGAAATCCAAAAATAAAAACTGGCGTTTTAGTCCGTTTTTTTCACAAATGCGACGAAACATCATAGTTCTTTTTCTAGTTTCCATACATCTAAAAAGAAAACGCTTTGGAACGCGAAACTCAACATGGCGTTTCGTCGCGTTCATTGCTACAACGGACTAAAATGCCAGTTTTTATTTATGGATTACAACACATTTCTAAAACAACTCGGGTTTTCTCAGTTTTTTCACGAACGCGACGAAACGCCATGTTGAGTTTCGCGTTCCAAAACGTTTTCTTTTTAGATGTATGGAAACTAGAAAAAGAACTATGGCGTTTCGTGGCATTTGTGAAAAAAACGGACTAAAACGTCAGTTTTTATTTTTGGATTTCAACGCAGTGTTAAAAGAACTCGGTTTTTCTCACGAATGCGATGAAACGCCATGTTTTATTTCGCGTTCCAAAACGTTTTTTTTTAAACGTCCCGAAACCAGAAAATGAGCTATGGCGTCTTTTTTCGTTTTCGCTTGAAACGCGTAGAAAAGCGTTCTCTCCTCGGATGGTTCCAGTGCGATGAGGAAACAAGCGGAAAACAAGACGTTTTACTAGTTTCTCGTTTCAACACGTCTACGAAAAACCGGATTAGAACGAGTATTTTTATTTTCTCGTTTTGGTGAGACAAGTTCCGTAGAAAATTTGGCAATGGGTAGATAATTCTACGACGTAGTTCACTAATGCACATGTCATATAAAAATCGCTATGTTCTCGGATCGATTTTGAGTTGCGTTTTTGCGTAATTTTAGCAGCTATATATCTTTTATAATATTTGCTGCTATGAATGTGTCTTTTTGGTGGTAAAAAATAACAACGAACTGTAGAATTTGACATTTTTTTGAGTTTGGGATATCATTTAATTAAACGCTGTTTAATATGTTTGTTACAGTCGACTGCTGATAAACCGTTGAAACGAGTGAAATCATCTCGTCGTCTGTCTTGCGCAGAACCACTATGTGTATTTGATAAATTCTGTAATTCAGTTAATATTTCTGGATATTGTTCATGATCAGATTTTCTTTCTGGTTTATTACGTTTAAAACGAATGTCTAATATTTGTTTTAATCTTTCGTCAGACTTTTCTCTTGTCTCAGACATCAGCCATTTATACCTCGACATGATTAAAAACTTTTAAAATGACTGAAATTTTATGTGAAAATCTTATAAATTATTCGCGGTTCCAACTTTACTCAATATCTTATGGAAGTGTAGTTTTGCCAAGTATAGCAATAATATATACCTCGAGAACGAATGTATGTAATTATACGTTTACAGAAAATATAAACTGTATTAATTAACGAAACAACACATTTATACAACTTGACATATAATCCAATTAACTAACAACTTGTATTACAGTTTTAACTTATCGTAATAATCAAACAATAGAAGAAAAAGAATACACTGACTGTTGGGAAAGGCTATTTATACTAAAAAAATCTACATTGATGGCATTTTCATTCCAAATATTCTTTAAGTTTTGCTGATCTGTTTCTTAATTACTTTCTTAATGTCTAACGACAGAAGAGTAATTCCGAAAATAAGTGCTGGAGGTGATGACCAGTCTAACTCTGACGATGAAGAAGAAGTTAACCAGAAGATCACATTAACAATGATTAATGAAAACCTTGAATTATTATTCATAAAATTTGACAAAATGGAAAAATCTGTGAATATTTTCAAAAAAAACGTAGATACATTGGTGATTAGGCAAACAACATTGGACTTAACGGTATGTGAATCACAGAAGGATAATGTTGATAAGGCAGTATTATTAATAAGGAAAAGTGTTGTACAACAATTCTGGAATTGATTGAAGAAAGCGCTTTATCGTTTGAAAATGCGACTGAACATGCTCATATCAAAGAACAAGTTGTAAGTATTACGCTCTATACCTATTCTAAATATTCGTTGTGTTTATTATATAACGGTTTAAATTCGTACTACCACTAATATGATTAATCAAGCTGCTTAATTAGGTGATCGTGAATCGTCAGATAGTACAACAGAAGATAATCAACCCTTATTATTCAACACTCAAGTATATAAACACCATACATTTTTCTATAATGATAATGTAAAAATCTTCGGAAAATATCTAGCTTTCCAATCTAGATGGATTCGGTGTCTGGTACGTTGCAGCAGTAAATGAAAAATCGTTTCCAGAAAATCAGAGTGCGTTCGAGAAGTGTTTTTTCACTCGTGAAACAGGAAAAAGTATGCTAGTCAAAAAAATTGAAGTACATTCATGGGAGAGACCAATGAAAAAGACGCACGAATCTAGCTTGTTGTTCGGATGTGTAAACGCAAGAACAGGCTTTCCTGACCACTTTTATATAACATCTAAGGGAAACGAAGTGAATTTATACACAACTCGAAGAGCTCCACAAGACAGGCGTAGTGAGATTTTTCCGGATAAAAGTTGTGTATAAATGGACGCAGTTGTGCGGAAGTGCCCAGTGATCATTTCTATAAACTGAACACTTACGACGTCGCTGGTGATTTTAGACAAGTAATCACATTCCTCACATTCTCTGACTTTAAGAGGCGCTATGCTATAGGATCGGCCAGCTAACTTATAAACGATCAGATTACAAAATGAGTTTTCCGCTCCAAATATGTTCGTTCGAAATAGTGTACAAGGTTACATGAAATGTCTCTTTTAATAGAGATATAAACTTCATTAGACAGGTGATTTTTAGAAGAAATTAATACAAATTACAATTGAAGAAATGTGATTCTGAATATAATTATAATTTGACAGTCACAAATTCGTTCTAAAATTGAATGTTGAATAGCCAAATGTGCGCAATTTAAGATTCTCCACTATTGTCAATTCACCTTATTGTTCGTAAGAAAGTCACCCGTGTTCAGCTCTTTTCGGTACCAAAACAGAATTAATAGTTGTCATATTCAGAAAGTAAAAGAGAACAGTCCAGATATCACTTTTATTTTCATTTTCACCTGAGATGATTAATTCGTCGTTCTGTTTGATAGTCAAAAGAGGATAATGACATCATATGTTTCGATAAGAGAAAAAGGTGAATAGAAAATGAAATTTGAGTTGTTTTCCTTTGTCAAATTTAAAATAAAATAGTGAATCACGAAAAGTGTAAGGTAAAGTTGAAATGACAACAACAGGTTTAAGATTATGCCGTTTACATGTGTGGCCGAACTATGTCGCTTTTGGTTTCTCAGTGAGAAGCGGTGATGAAGCTCCTCACACGATCGGAACTATCAAAGGTGGCAGTCCTGCCTCTACTGGCGGTCTCAAAGATAACGATGTTATTTTGATGATAAACGGTGTTGACATCTCGGAGGAAGAACATGAAACGGTTATCGATCTCATCTTTGAGGCGCGGGATCGAGCACGTACTATTCTCCTACTTGTTTGTGAACTGAACGAGTATAAAATTGAAAGAAAATTCGATTTGAAAAATGCAATAAAACTAGAATCCCCACGACAGTCACCATCAACCTGCGTCAGTTGCGAAAAGCCACGTCAAGTTCAATGTCTACATTGCTCGAAATTCGTTTGTCTCAATTGTGCTCAAAAGCACATAGAAAATGTGAATAATCAGATCGACGACGCTCAGAATCTATTCAACAGCAAAACAGATATTCTAGACCGTATTCACGAACAAACAAAGGCGGATATTGAAGCCAGTTTTAAAAGCAATGTTGACAAAGCCCAAGAGAAAAAAAATCGTCATTATTCTCAGCTATCACAAATGATCGAGAACAAGAAACAAATGATTAATGAAAGCAGTAAAATACTGATGAATTCGCCGGTAGACAAAGTTGAACAGTTTATTCGTCAAACCACGTGGGAATTAAATAAACTTAATGAACAAGAAAGTTTTTTCCAGAATTTAGAACAATAACTTTGAGCAACAATTGTATTCTCTTCGTGATGGATAAAAGTAGACTTTGTCTTGGATTTATCTGAGTAGTTCATTAAACAAATCTATTCACCTTAGAGATATAGATCTGTTTGATTTCCTTGGTCTTACCAGTCCGCAAACGTTAAAAATAAATTCGCTTTTGCTAGGTTATTAATTATCCTTCGAAGACTGCAACTGTTTTTTCAAGAACAGCACGATACTTACCACTCTGTAAAAGAAAAAGATCCAAAAAAGGGTATTTTTATGCTGGAATACCCTCTTTGGAATCCCTGAGTAAGAAATACAGATACCCCCTTCTTTTTGTTCTGTGGAATGAGGAATACTCTCAAAAAAATCTTACAAAACCAAACAGGGTGTACTGAAATACCAAAATAGCATTTTAAAATACGGTTAAGGGTAACCTTTTTATTACTTATTGAGTCTGCTAACTATGTAAAGCATTGCGAGTACAAAACATTTGCTCTAGCGTTCCACGTGATTGATCCTCTGATTTCGCGTAGTACAGTTTGTTCTGCAGCTCCATTGTCTTTGTTTGATAACATTAAACTGAACTCTTATTTCCATCAATTTAGGAAACAACATGAGTTGATGGGTATATTGTTCGACATAATTGTTGAGAACTCAGCCTCGGAAATACTAGACTTGGTTGAAAACTGCAGCTTAGCTGATTTCGTCATTTTTCTCGATCAGAGATAATCCATTCATTGATAACTTAACAAAGAAGTCTGTTAGAAGCGATTCTGTCACATTTTCAGTTTTTCGTGTGCATTAAAACAAACGTGTGAATACGTAAACGGTGAAACAACCATAATGTGAACAAAATGATGCGCAGATAATGAGTACCATTACAAAAGCTGACCTTAATGAATTTCTATCAGAAAATAAAGCATCTAGATTTTGAAGTGAATCAAGCATCAAAAGTTTAGTCAAATATTATCGTATAAAAGATCGTCGTTTTGTCCTTTCGTTTCACGATCTGCGAGATTGTTGTATGTTACATTCAGCTTTACCCTTCCCTAGTGAAAGTACTCATACGATGAGTACGACTTTACTCATAATTCGTCCATGAGTACTCATATTGGTACTACTAACAATTTCTGAGTATTGTTACTCAGTGAGTACTCAGTTACTCATGTG